TTGGAAATAAGAGTAGAGGATCAGTGGAGCAGGGATGAAGAAAAACCATTTGAAACGGCCCGAAACCCGAGAAATGGGACCCCTTCCTTGCCCGTTGATTTGCGCATTGATGCGACTCTCATCGCTGTGCCCTCTTCAACACTACGCTCTCTCTGCTATCTAATCACTCGCCACGTATAGACCTGCGGCGAGTGATTAGATAGTCGGTGGGCGTACCCCGCCAACCGCGCCAAGAGTGAGCCATGCTAGATCGCCGAGGTCAAATCTTTCGCTGCCAATTGCGCGTCAGTCCGCACCCTCAGGAGGTCCGCCTGTCTCTCAACTAGGTGAATTCCCCTTCTTCGACCTTCATTCTTATCGTAAATCGCCACAAAGGCATTCCCGGTCCCTCCCACCGTGACAGATGCGGTCCAGCAGATGGGAAGAAACGGCTTCTCCGTGGACGGTCCCTTCAAAGGAGGAATTCACGATTAGAATGAAGGTCGAAGAAGGAGTAATTCACCTAGTTGAGGGACCCGCGGACCTCCTGAGGGTGCGAACTGAAGCGCAATTGGCACCGAAAGAGTTGACCTCGGCGACCTATTAAGGCTCAATCTTGGCGCGGTGGGCCAGTGCACGCCCACCGACCAGCTGATCACTCGCCGCAGGTCTATACGTGGCGTTGTTGAGAGGGCACAGCGATGAGAGTCGCATCAATGCTCAAATCAACGGGCAAGGAAGGGGTCCCATTTCTCGGGTTCTGGGCCGTTTCTCATGGTTCTTCCTTCTTTCGTGTACCACTCACCATCCCTAGGTTAATTTGAAATGGGTTGCTTTTTCATCGTGAATTCGTCCTTTAAGGATGGCTACCTACCATGGTTCATTGTTGGCGCGGTGGGCGGGGTACGCCCACCACCATCTAATCACTTGCCAGGTCTATGCGTGAAATCTTGGTCATCAGTACCGCTCATTTCGATGCACGCCACGCCCACTGTGGGCGGGGCTCCGCTTAGCTGATGTGTGTTTTGTACTTCGTCGAGACCTTGCCCACCCATCCCACACTTGACCCGGTCCCTCCAGGCGGATCCCGAGGAGCTAGGGAATTTCGTGACAGACATACAGACGACAGACAGACAGACAGACAGACAGACAGACAGACAGACAGACAGACAGACAGACAGACAGACAGACAGACGAAGCGCTTTATAGTAAGTAGGATGTAAGTAAAAAAAGTTCATTACGGTCACGGAAATCGGCCTAGCTACGTGTAAAGCACTCGAATTGTTTTCAGACGCAAGTTCGAAGCGTTGTGTCGTATGTTCAATGACTTCACTAAGCTGATTCCTTTGACGTTCCTGCTGGGTTTCTATGTCTCCAGTGTTGTCTCAAGGTGAGTATTCGCTGAAAACGGTTTCTGTGAAAAAGAGGAGTGATATTGTATAGCTAGAGTAATGTGGTGTAGAATGTGAAAATTTTGTTGCTACTGGCGCCTAGTGGAAGAATGAACGTCTCCAGCATCTGCAATCAACCAATTAGCAAGGAGACAGATTGGATTCAAAATGAGGTGAATAAGTGCCTAAGTGGCTCCACAAGGGAAACCCAAAACGCAAAAAGAAATGCACTCTGAATGAGACATATCGTGATCTTTGCACTCACGTGTTCAAAGCATTTTAGTTTTACACCATAGAACACCAGGTGCATGACCGAAATATCTACCGATATAAGGATCGACAGAGTGGCAGATTAGAGAATGAAGAGCAACGAAGTTATACGACAACTTTGGGGCAAATTCGGGCGTTTCCAAACCTAAGATATAAAACTCAAGCTACCCAAGTCAGTCTAGTCGTTGAATCGGCTCAAGCTTTGCGGTTGCCTATAAGTTCACCTTGCTTCCGAAAAGGATTGCTTCACACATCTTGCAAATCGCGAAATGGGACTAGAATTTTGTTCGAGCCGATTCCGGATGAATAGGCGTCTCCCGCCGTCATTCCTCATTTCTGCAGAAGTGCTCTTACGAAGTACTGTACCGATGCGTCTAGATTGGCAGAGATTGGTCTAAGTGTTTAGGTGGTGGCGTCAATTCGAAAGTCTGTCATGGCCAGAAGACCTTCTGAGCATGGTTTGCCTGATTGTTCGTGAGAACGACGAGAAAAGTCAAAGAAGACGCCACGCGATTGCCAGATACGTCAATTTGTCATCAGCGCTTGTATGGTCAGCTCTAGTGGTCATTTAGTTTTATACATATGCAAATCAATAGACTGAACAATTATTCACAGGCGCGACGTTTCAAAGAAAATTCGCCTTCGCTTCCCAACAGTACGAAGCCTTGTCGAAGCTGGTCTACTTACGGAAAAGGAGTTCGATGTTTTGGAAAGTCTTGAGGTGAGAAAAGGCTTTGTAAAAAGTTGATCCTACTTTTAAAGTCCTCACGTCTCTATGGCTCGCTTCATGGCTAGTTCGTGCAATTTGGTGTTCACTAGGAACCAAATTTGTAGGCTCACTGTAGTTAGCGTAGAAACTCTGTTCTCAAGCTCTCCATACATTTTGCTTTTTTGTTGGAAAATTGGCACCAGAATTGTCTAAGAGTTCAAAATTTTGAATTGAGTATCGGATACACCCTTCCAAATCCTTCAGAGTTGTTTCATTAGAATATTATCTTCCTGAAGAAATTTTCAGGAAGATTGCGACACTGTCCGCTGGATGGCTCCTCTTCACTGGATCCAACATTTGGTTACTAAAGAAGAAAAGGTTAGTTGTCATCTGAACATTATGTGAGAAGTCTATCTGGCGAGATAATGAAGATTTCGTATAGATCTCCTGGTTAATCTTCTTGATGTCGAATTCCTGAGAGGGACTCATTTGATCTTTCAGGAAAACAATCCCCCAACAGCCTTCATCAACAACTTCATGACTGAACTCAAAATTTTTCGGCAATCGTTGCGGAAGCTGTTCTGCTATGATTGGGTTTGCGTACCACTCGTTTACACCCAGGTAAGATATAATGTCCAACCAAATATAAACTACCACGTAAAATTGAGCGAAAGGCAAAGCGTAATGTAGCAGGCAGGAGCAGGGCTGACGTCAGAGTTATCAAATCGACGCGAAAGCGTCCGCGGTCGCGTTGCGGTACCACCCAATCAAGCGATTCGCTGGCCATGACACGACCGCGGACGCTAACGAGTTGCACGATTCGCATAGTTACATCGGCTCTACACGCAGCGGACAGCGTTCCAGCTGCCTGCATGAATTTTAAGGATCTCGTCAGCAAGGAGTGTTCACCTATGGTCAGCATTACTCATGTAATACCCTTGTAGAGAAATGCGGGCTTTGGCGGTTTATTTTAAGTGGCTTGCTTTTTGCATCTCATTATTTGCTGTCGTACAGTGACTAGGCAATTTTGTATTAGTATACGAGACTGACTGCTGTCTATGAGGATAG